TATATAATTCCATTCAAATCAGCTTTGGCGCCTCATGGCACAGTGGCTAAACTGCTGTACTGCAGCCAAAACTGTGCTCACAACCTGGGGCTCAATCCCAGGTAGCCGGCTCACGGTTGACTCAGCCTTCTATCCTTCCGAGGTCGGTAAAATGAGTACCCAGCTGGTAGTGAGAAGACAATGTGTAGCCTGTGTAATTAACTTGTAAACCACTCAGATTGCTTAAGCATTATGGGGCGGTATGTAAGTAGCACGCTTTGACTTTTTGCTTTATTTTTGCAATAAGATTCTTTCTATTAGCTGTGGTTCCACATTATTAGAGTATATGTTCATGTTAAGGAAAGGGGGCACTGTCAGACTCCCAAACAGAAAAAGAAACTTAGGGTGTGATAACAGAGAGAAACTGACGACAATTTGGACTTCTTGCAGAGTAATCCAGTGCAATTTATTTCCTGGCAATACAGATGCTGGGTTCGCACATAATGCACTGAAAGCGAGCTTCAGAACAGCTCTGATCTAGAGCTTCTGTTTAGTGGGGGGGGCAGCTAGGCTATAGTTCCTGTTGAAGAACTGCTAGTTAGCTCAGTAGCTTAGGTCTCTGGCTGCAGAGCCAGACATTGGGAGCTCAGTTCCCCACTGTGCTTCCTTGTGAAGGGCTGGGCTTGATGATTAAAGCAAGCCCTTCTGGTGCAGCTGTCTGGTCACATCCTCAGCTGTTCTCAGCACCTTTCCCTGTATATTGTTCCAAACACTGATGTGGGATCCTATTACAATCCTTGACAAGAAAATGCTACTAAAGCAGTTATCATTTGGAATCTAAAGAGTATGTGTACACCATATAGTTACATCAGTTTAATATCCCCAAAGGTTCCATTCTATGGAAACCCTGGATTTGTAGTTTGGTGAGTCACTTAGCAGCTAATTCTAAGTACAAGGGAATGGACTTGCGTTTTCCAGCAAAGAAGGCTAGGTCCCAAAATTCCACAGGACTGGCACCATGACACTTAAAATTGATATCAAACTGCTGTAACTATTTAAAGCAGATATCCTTCTTATTCAGTCTACTATCTCCCTTGTTCTTCAGTTCCAGCATGCTGGGAAGACAACTAGTCTGTCCATACCTATAAGTGAACACCGAAAAATGTCTTTAATTTCTAGAAGACTACAAGTGCTGACTAATAAATCCACTTTTTCAGTTAATTTGACAAAGCCAACTGTGATGAAGTGAAGTCACAGCCACTTCACAACAGGCCGCAGGTGCACACTCCTCGGCAGGGAGTCCCTACTGAGAACAATCTAAAGAGACCTTTGCTTGGTCATGAGCACACATTGCTAAATTTAAATACTGTACTGTACACAAAAACGTTACCACCTCCCTGTCTAATCCCATGTAATGATAAGCAGAGATGTGAAATGAAGAGGGTGGGGAGATGGTAAAGAAAGGAACAAAGCATTTTCTTCTGCTTTTTTTTTTTTCAGAATCCTTGAGGGTGAAAAAAAAACCCTACTCTTTTATTTCAGCTGGATGGGAAAAGAAGAGTAATCTTGCTCACGAGCCTGGGTTAGATGCAGCAGCTTCTAACTGCCGAATTTTTCCTATCAATATCTCGCTGCTCCTTTGTTTGGAAACAGCTGTTCATGCCCCAAGAATAGATCATTTATTATACTGTGCCCTCTCTTGAACAAATAAAGTATGTGGCTCTGTGCATTACTGTAAATATTGTTCTCTCCTTCCTAGAACACTGGAAGTCACAAGTGGCTTACAATGCACTACTGATCTATTCTACAAGATTGGTGTGAGGATGACTGAAAGATGGTCACTTAGATATATGAAGCACTCTGAACGCTATAAAACACTATACAAAAGTTCAAGAATGTTGCTCTTTAAGACACATAACACAAAGTAAGAAAACAAATAACAATCAGGCTATAAAACGTTCAGCTGACTCATATTCACAGCATAATTTGTTCTAACTCTTCAGAAACATAACTGATAAATTGTGGCTCTCCGCTTGTTTTTACAAAAACAATTCTCTTTCATGATTTTTGTTCTTTTAAAAAAAACCCTACACACTACTGGATTGTTAAAAAAAAAAAATCTTTCTGTTTGATTAACTACCTAAGAACATGGCAAAAATATTTCCACACTGTGCCATTTCCCTCACTGCTATGATGTTTGGAAGGAGAAAAACCCAGCCAGCAGAGACTGGGAAATTTTAAACAACAAAATGAGGAAGTGACTGTATCAGTGGACATTATCAGCAAGTCTACATTCCAGCAGACCTGAAAGACCTGAATCTGCTATCAAGCAATGAAATTTGAAGAAAAACCTCAAGATTAAAAGGAGAAGGAATGGTAGATCTAGAATTAATATAACTTAAAAATGGAGCATCAGGATTTTCTTCCAAAACGAGAGAGCAAACCAACTGGAAGGCACTAAAAAGGCATTTAATCCAGATCCACACCCCAGAGCAAGACCTTCAGTTAAAAAACACCACATCTCATAAACCCTTCTATATGCCATTCATGCTACAGAATTAAACAATAGTAAATAAATGGTAAAAAGAAACAAATTAGAAGCAATGTGGGACACAAAATTCACTGTAGATTTGAAAATGATGAATTTGGGTTCAAGACCTGTAAAGGCTTACTCAATTGCTTTGTATTTAGCTTACTCTCCCTCACAGATATTACGGTTGATGTACTATGCTGACAACATTCACCACACACATACACACACACACACACATACACACAGGTTGCTTTCTTCCCTTCTCCCTTTCAACGCCCTTTAGCGTTACATCCTACCTTTTATACTACAGGCTTGCAGACAGTGGCTACCTTATTACTATTCTCTGTAAGAGCTTTCAGGAGAAGAGCAAGGTAAAATGCTTTTAAATAAAAATACAATAAAATTTTATATAAACGCCACAAAAATGACCAGCAGCTTATCTATAACTAGTCTTCTAAATGGAATACATCAATGGTATACTAGAATTAGCTTCTGCTATCTTAAGCAGTATATAGGCCAGGCACCTATTGGGGTTGAACTCAGTTTTGTACTATAACATCAGCACCTTATTCAATATAGAGTGACTTTCCCACCATCTTCCCAGTAGAAAACTAATGAGGTTTTACTGGTTATACTGTTGCAGTGTACCCTGGGAGATCCAGGCTCTCACTCCCCACTGAGCCATGACACTCATCAGATGACCTTGAGACAGCCTCACATACCTAGCAAGGTTGCTGTGAGTATATGTAGCAAGGAGAGAGAGGTATGTGGCCTTGAAGTGCACTGGAGGAAAGTTAGTTGCTGTGACACAACAACAACTAACAACAGCAACAACTAATGCTTCTCAAGATCTTCAGGCATGACCAGCAGGGAACTCCTCTCTTTCTCTTGCCTGCAGAAAACTTAATTGTTGTCCAACAATGATAAGTGGGGCAACATCTCAGTTGTGTGCCTGGTCAAGTGCCCAACTGCACAACTCAGATGCATTGCAGTCGTCCATTAGCCACTATTAGCTACTTAACTGCAAGTTACATAATCCATACATGAACACCAATACAATTTCCACCACTTTGTGATATTATATCCTTAAAAAGATGCTGTGACTTCTGCACTTTTTCTTCTCCCTGTGTCATTATGATTACCTACAACTTCCATATTTTACACCTCTATTGATTATCATAAATACAGATTTTAGAAAGATGCTGTTTTGACTATATGCCTTGAAAGACAAAGGTCAAGTCAAAAAAAAAAAAAAAAAAGGAAATACAGTACCAGAACTCTCATGCAAGTATGTACAGCATTTTAAAAAGTATACTGTATTTTTAATGTGTAACAATACATATCATTGTACAGGACATCACTGAGTATAGGGAGGTGTATTCAGATCGTGTAAAGCACAGCTTGTTCAGTAGGATCTAATTTGATTTTTTTTTTTTACATTCAAGCTCACAAAATATGAAGAGCTTATTCACACACACACACAGAGGCAACCATTTGTTACTTCTTACATTAGCAAATAAAGAAAAAGACAAATAGCTCCTTCTGACTAATTGATGAGTTATCTCTTCAGGGCACCACCTCCAGTGGGCCAGCTAGCTTAGCTTGAGATAAGAAATCAGCTGTTACCAACCAACATTCCCCCTCCTCAAGACATTAGGTTAGGGGAAGGGAAAACAAATGGGCAGCTAGGCCCTCTCCTTTGTGACTTTAGGCTAGGCTGGGAAGAAGGGAAGGAACAGGACTAAGGGCAGGAGAAAAGGTATAGATTTGGTGTCCTGGGCAGGAAACAGTCATGGGAAACAAAGCTAAGTGGTGGGTAGTGTGAAAGGTCTGAGTGAAAAACTCAGGAAGTAAAGACAGAGGAATAATTACTCCTGTTAACCACATAATATTTACAAAGGAAAAAAGTTAAGAGGTCTGGATGGAAAGATTTGCTTGAAGACCAACTCGAGGAACTGTGATTTGACCTTCCAACAAAAAGACAACATTGAATCCTGCCAGGAAGCTGCATTTTCCTGCCTTAATGTCCTTCCTCCTAATCTCGAATATGAGTTTAAGAAGGTGGGGTGGTGTAACCTTTATTTGCCCGGAGAAAGGCACTCTGCCCATGTTCAGAACCCGAATATCATGGAGCCTAGAACCGGGTTCACGAGTTCTAGAGCCGGCTTCACCTGGCAGCTCTCGAGCGGAGCTGGAGATAAAAGCAAGAGAAAAGCATCAACTTGCACGCATACGGGCACAGGCGTCGTCGGGAGGGCACAACCCGGGGCACACACCGGGGAGCTCGGCCAGAATCAAAGCAAAACAGAAGAGCTCGCCTCTCTCCCGGGCAGGAGCCGAGATCAGGATGAAGACCGCAGGCCTGCAGGCTCCATGATGGCCTGCAAAGGGGGCGGGGGTGGGGGGATCGCGTAGCCTTGGGGAGAAAAAAAAGGAATTAAAAAAAAGAGGGGGAGAGGGGAGGTCAGCGAGGCAGCCACGCACCGACCTGGGAGCTGAGATAGCGCTTGAGGCATTCATCGCAGACGGGCTTCTTGCAACAGGGCAGGGGCTTGAGGGGCTTCTCCTCCAGACACACGCGGCAGGTCAGCACCAGCAAGGGCCCGAAATCCCCCGAGATCAGTCCGGAGAAAGGTTCAGGCAGGAGGTACAAGTCCACCTCGATGCCGCCGCCGCCGCCGCCGCCGCCTTTCCCTCGCTCCCCTCCTCCTCCGTCTCCTTGCAGAGAGGTCGGCGGCAAAGCGACCGAGCGGGGATCTCCTGCGTCGCCGCCGCCGC